TTTGTCATTCATTTAGTTTTCCTGGTGTTCACTTTGGGATGCGTTTGTCTTGCCTCTTGTTGGCGTTTGAAGGTGAGGTTTAGTTTTCTTTGGTGCAGTCGGTGTTAAAGTGTCGAAGATGGGGAATATTTCAGCTCAAAGCTGATCACGCCGATTATTAGTCTTCTCGGATTCGAAGTGTGAGAATTTATTTTCCCAGTTCCTGGGTGAGGTTTATGCAAACTCTTTGTTTGTTTTGAGGAAGAGTTGCTTCATTTCCATTCCAGCTGCTGAATCTTCATTTCTACTGACTGGAGTCTTTGTGCAACACTGAGCTGGTCATTGTTTTGAGTTATTCATTGAGCTGAACCAGGGTCGTTCTTGGTATTCCTCTCCAGAGCATGAATCTTTATTCTACAGATTGAAGTCTGTGTGTAATATTTCTGATGTCCCCTTCATCAGCCGGAGGCATTTTGCTCTGGTTCACTTTGAAAGTGGAAAAAATGAAGCAAAAAAAAAAAAAAAAATCCCACAGTCCTTAGATCAGTAAAGACGTCGATAATGTAAGTGCAGCTATTAAAGCTGCGTGTATAAAGTAACTAACAGGCAAAGCTACCAATAAGGAAGTGAGAGAGCAGCTGTCAGTTTCAGACTCATTTAGATTACTTAGTAGCTCACTGGTTCTCCTGCTATAACAGATTCATCCATTTATTAAACTACTAATAAATATGGCTATGCTTTAGAAAGAAAGAAATTTCATAATTGTTGACATAAAAAAACAAAAAACACATTTCTGCCTCACTGTTTCCACTTATCCTATAAAACTATCAAAAAGTGTGCAGAGCCAAACCCAAATGTGCAAGTAGAGAGCAAATGTAACAGTTACTTGAAATTTGATCACAAGCTATCAACAATGGTAACGCCTCCAGAGAGATCCTACATAACTGACTGATTCTAGAACGTTCAGATCAAATTCGATTCTTTAGAGCTTCTTCGTTCAACAGAAAATAAAGCGGTGACGAGTAAAAATGTGGCTACAGGCTCTCCTGATCGGGCGTGTGATCATCCTCCACAGCGCTGGTTCAGATCAGAGTAATAGTCTCACCTCCTTTGGAAAGTGATACATTATTTGCAAAAACTTAAAAAAAAAAAAACGATGACCTGTGAATAAAAAGCTTATAGCATATTGCAGTTTAGATAATGTATCTGTGTAAAAAAGCTATGAAATAAAATCCCAGAAACAGCCCTCGCTTGGTGAAAGAGGAAAAAGAAAAAAAAATGTGCAAGACTTAAAGCTATGGCATCAGAAACGGTTAGCCGTTCATCCTGTGAGCTGCAGTTTTTCAGTGAGGTGAGAAAACACGACGAGAAGCCTGGGCAGAGCCAGAGGTTGCTGAGGTAGGATGCAGTTAGCCTTCAGAGTTATTTCACTTTCTTAGCCCATTTTAAGTCGTCCGCTCTGGGTTTCTCTCCCGTCACGCCCTGGATGAGATCCTCCAAGGTTCTCCAGAAACCGAGCCACTCCAGAGGATAGTTTAACCAACCTGGACAGAGGAGAGACGGAGAGAAAATCAACTTCACCCTAAAAAAAAAGACCTTAGTGCTCCACCAGACTGCCTCGGAATAAAACCTAATGATTATCATGCAAATATTATTTTCACTACATCCATGAATTCTTCATAGGGTCTTGAAAACCAGGGAATGAAAAAAGGAAATACGATTTCAAAGGTGAATTCATAAAAACATTCTGAATGGAGGCCAATGGCACAGAATCAGGCATCAAGTTTAAAAAGAATATATGGAAAACTTAAAGAAATAAAGGGGGAAATTAATCCTAAATTGTGTATCCCCGCCCCCCCCATCAAAACAGTCACAGTTATAGTAATAAAAATGTTTTAAATAGGCCTGTCATGGTAAGTTTCTGGAATGATAAGTTGTCCCAGAAATGTTTGCTACAAATGATGTGTTTTTGACAGTATTTTCAAGTAATAATTAGAAATGGCATAATTATGCAAGATTAAATTTGCTTTAGGTTTGTAAAGAACACTGAACCCGGAAGGTATTTTAAATAACCAAAATAAAACAACCAAAAACAATAAATAAAATGTAAATAAAAACCACACACACGGCTGAAAACATAAATGAAATGAATCATGAAGTCTTCTCCCCTTTAAGAAATTTTAAATCAGAATTGAATTGATCCGCTTCATTTTAATTTATTATGCGAGTAACTGATTTGTTCCCTACGGGCTCTGGGACTCGGGCGGCAGAGACGAACCTGTGGTGATGCAGAAATACGTCTCATGAGGGGAGACGTGGTGGATGCGGTGGTGCTTGCGAGGAAGGATGATGTGGCAGTCCTGCAGGAGCACCACCCAGCGAGGAAGGCCGAAGTACGTGTGCGACCACTTGTGGATCTGGTTGGTGAGCGTCACAAAGATGGACAGCGCGTACAAGTAGCAGTACCACGGGTAGATGTGGTAAATCTCCGCTGCAGTCAGAAAAACCAAGACGATTCGTGTTTACCGTCCGCACTAATGTTTCCAGACAAAATGTCATTTTTGTTGGTAGAAACGCTCACCAGGGGACAGCGTGAGAAAGTTGAAGGCCATGTTTGCGAGAGGGACGATGGTCAGCATGCAGTTGTCACCGTTTGTCTCGATGAAGTCGTGACGGGTGATGGCTGTGGGGTCGATGTGGTGCTCTCTGAACGGCCGAATAAACGCCTTCAGGAGGGAAAATACCCGGGTCGTTAGTCAAAACCTCAACAGGAAACAAAATCTTTCCAAGATGTTTCTAGTGCAAAGATCTTAGTACACTTGAAATAAGAAAACTAACTTACAGGTAACTTTCCAAAGCTTGTTTAAGTCAATAATTCCTTAAAATTTTTTTTTTTTTTTTTTTAAGTACTAGTTCCTCTGGCATATTATTTCACTTATAACATGGGAAAAACATCTTGTTATAACTGGTACTGTTTAAAAACCAATATTATGGATTTATTGACATAAAAAATATCATGTCTTGCTGAAGAGTTACTTGTACGTTTTGTCTAATTTCAAGACATTTGCACCAGAACTTACACCAAAAATACTTAAAAAGATTTTGTGTTTTTGAATTGTCCTACAAAAACATTTTTCCCATGTTATAAGTACAATGGAACTAGAACTATTTATAATAGATATTAAGGAATTATTGAAAAGCTCCTATATCTTGCTGAAAAGTTAATTAAAAGTTAGTTTTATCACAGGGTGAAGCTACATATAACAGATAAAAGTATTTCATTTCTTATTTTTATATTATATCCCAAAAATTTTTGCACATTTTTGGCTCATTTACTCATCTAAGAATGCTGTTCTTTAAAGAAAATTGTCCTTTTTTGGGTCTATATTAGGGCTGAAACGATTCCTCGAATGATTCGAGTACC